GCGAGAAGCCGGGGCACTGGCAGAGGAGGAGGTCCTCAGATCCCGCCAAGAAGGACATGGGTTACTGTACCATTTTAGCCAAGGTGTAGGTGCGATTCCTGATGTACGGCTGCTGGAAGTTGATCTGCCTCAGCCTGCAGGCATGATGGGCAGGAGAAGCCAATCCTGCCCCTTTCAGAGGCACAGGGCTGGTGAGAAGAAGAGGGAGACAGCAACAGCAGCAGAAGATGACCCATCCTGAGAAGCTCTTGGTCAAGGTCTGCAGGAAGGCCATGGGTCACGGTCCAAAGTCGTCTGTCCCAGCAGGTTGCAGCTACAGCACTGATGAGAGAGAGTAGTGTTAGCATCAGGGAGAGTGGGCAAGGCAAAGTGAGAGAGGCACGAAGGCTGCAAGCCTTACCTTTGCTGTGATTCTTGATGTGCTCTGCGGGAGGTAAGGTGCACCTTATATAGGGCCACCAACATGTCTCTCAGCTTTTTTTTTTTTTTGGGTGCTGGTGGTGAGTTAAAAATGACATCAGCAAGTCTCTTACTTTCCAATATCCTCTTCTGAGAACTACCTAACCACTACAAAACCCACAAATACAACTTCGAGGCCATTGTAATCTTTAGTTTCTTATAAAATAAACCAAATTTTAATGCAGGGCAAAGCAGGGGCTTTTACCAGGGCAGGAGTCCTGAATTCTTTTTGCATAAAAATATTTGAGAAGTTTATGGGTTTGTGCCTTCTGTCCTGATTGTAACACACTAATTGGATCCGCAATTTGATAGCAGATAATGTAATTTACATTAACTTTTGTTCATCTTCTGTGGTAAAAGACTGGTGCTTCGCTGGTGCTGACTGGTATACTCAAGTGGTCAGAGACTGCACCAGATCCAAAGCACTGACCACCGACAGTTCCTACCCTGCAAATACCCTTTCCCACACAGTGTCCCACTGAGTCACCAGCCATCTGCCCATCACTGTGCAATCCTTTCCGAGAGATCAGAAACTGGGTGGGACCAACACTGCATTTATCACATCCCTGATCTCCAAATTCCCACTTTCCAAAAAATTATCCATATTCCAGGCTGTAACTGGGGGTGACGACCAGAGCTGTGGTCATGCACTTACTCATCCAGGTGATTTCCATGTTCCTGATCCTGCTCTGCTAACGTAAAGGCAGTGCTGCACAGGTTTACGCTTCAGCCTCCCCAGATGCATCCACAGCACGAATTCATCTCTCCATGCCTCAGTCCTGCCTCAATCGCCCTCAGATACCTGCCACATCAGCTATGCACAGCTCTGTACCCTTGCAGCTGCACCCCCTCACCCTGGAGCCATCATCACCACGTCCCTTTCTGTGCCCCTCTCAGGGTATCCCACCCATTCCCATGCCTGGCCTCCAACAGCAGCCTGACTTCAGTGGGCAGCAGAAAGCAAGTCTGGACCCAGATGTGGACCACCTAGTTCACATCCCAAATGTACCACAAAGCTATTCAAGAACATGTTTATAAACTCTTCTGCATAAATTTTTCATTTGCCAGACTAATAGGCCCAGCAGGGGAGCAGGTTAATGAGAATATGGGAGGCTGAGTTACACTTAGTCAAAAGACAGACATTAAAGACCAAACTGGGGGAGAAATCCAGACAGAAAGGCTGTTTTGAAGGATTGGCTTCCCCTGAAGTGCAATTCCACAAACTCCTCTCCAGGTGTTAAACACAGTCTGATAACCAAAGTCTGCTTCTGACTGAGGTTTCTCACACTTCTCCACCAGCTCATCCAGCAGAAGTCCCGACCCCAGAACAAAACCTGTCAATGGGCATTCGGACCCTCCCTGCGGGAGGAACACAGCCCCTCTCCTGGTCCAGACCCCCTGTCCTCCTGCCCTTCTGGATCCCACCTCTCCATCCCTTTGGTCACTTCTGTCAGACTCGGATCCAGCTTGCCCGACCTCTTCTTGTGGCTCTGATCCCACAAGGGAAAGGGTTCGTGACCTGGGGAAGCAGGTGCTGAGCCACTCGCATCTGTTCAAACTGAGCCCAGCTGGTCCCAAGCTTCTCACACCTCCTGACAGATATGTAAACAACATCAGGCAGAGGGATGAGGAATTAGATGCTGAATCTTTCTTCTGCCCTCTTGTATGCAGTGATTACAGGATCTCTTCTCCCTGTCTTCTCCTGTATTAGAAACCATACACTGGGACATACCTATTTTCATAGAAAACTTTAAGTTAGACTTGATAAGGCTCTCTTTCTCCCATCTGCGTTGTTAGCCAGCTCTCTCAGTCATACTACTTTTTGGTTGTGCCCTAATGTCCTCCTCCTGATGCTTTAAAAAAGCTTGATTTCACCTGTTTAGTTTACCTCCCTGCCTCTAGTATGATACTGAAATGCTGAAATCCCCATTGTAAGTTTGTTAATTCATATTTCACAAATTCCCTAAACATCCTAAAGCCTTCACATTATTTAACCTTTTGTTTGCAGTTGTGAGAGTTGTAACAACCTATCTTCCATCCCTCTAGCTTGCTGTGAGTATGGTCCAGCCCAAAAATGAACATTCAAAATCTTGCTGGATACTAATTTTAGCAGACTGTATGGTTCCCCTGCTCATCAGTCCACTGGCCTCTTCCCAACCACTTTCCACCAGATGACTGCTGGTCCTGGATATACCACTGAGCTATGGTATAGCCACAGTCGTGGCTGCAGTTATTCCCTGTAACATGTCAAGAGAATTTCTTTGGAAGTGGAGATATGTCTCCTGTTCCCAGGGTCTGATATTCCTGTTATGAGATTGCACTGAACAAGGATGTGACTAGTCACTGCTATCACCTCTTCCGACTAGCTCACCACACCCTGGATGGGAGATACGCATCCGGCATTACACCCTATGGAAAGATGGGGCTAAAAACCTGCATAGTCCTGCCACTGGATTTTACTCCAGTCCTCAGCTGAAGTCCAGAAAGGGAGGAAGGCTTTTCTGCTGCAGTTGAGGAAGAATTTTCTTTCTTCTTGTTTGAGGAGGAAGTACAATAAACTGCTGAAAAATAAGGGCTTGAGCCAGGACTGAAGGTGAACCTTGAAGAAATTGCTTACCTAGATACCCCTCTCCAAACAGGCTGCTCTGAACTGTAGAGTTGGCAGAAGAGATCAGTGGAAGGAAAGCTGCATTTAATTTAAAATGTGGTAGCCTGAATGAAGCCATCACTGGTGGGTCTTACTTTGGGGAGAAAGAATAAAGTGGAAAAAACGCGTCTGAAGAATGTGTCTTAAAAGAGCAGCCTTTCTCATTAATTCTTTGCTACATCGTCAAATATTCTAGCAAGTGGTATGGGAACTGGTAATTTAGTAATTTCTCTTTGAGCCTGAACTACTGATGTCTGATGATACATGGTAGTCTCAATAAACATTGTTTATAAAACAATGTTCTCTTGGGAGAAAAAAAAAAATTTAAAAACCAAATAAATAAACAAAACCAACCCCCCCCAAAAGACCTCTCCAAGCTCGGGGGGGTTGGGGGTGGGTGGAGAGAAGAGTGAGGAGGGGGAAAAGTAATTTTCCTTTTTAATTTTATGACTTTTTGTAGGTTTAAAGGTTTAATGTTATTTTTAATGCTTGAAGCTAGTAGCACTTTAAAATGCAAAATTCTTACAAGAAAACACACCTGCTATGCTTCTATTTGAATTAAAAACTACCAAAGAGCTCTGAACTTCTATAAAGTACCCCCTGCATTGTTTTTTATGTATAACCAATTTTTAAAAATCTTGAAATTGTTCACAAATCATATTTTCTCCCCAGTGCTGTCCCAAGACTTAAACGTCTATCCTATCACTGACCTCACCGATAAACTTTTAAAGTGTAATTACATGGAGTTTCCCTAATTCATTAAGAAACCATAGCGGTTGAATATTCTCGACAATGACTTCTTGACCCATATTGAAGACAGAGGATTTTTTGAGGAGGACTGGAACTCTACATCACATCTGCCTCAAAAGCCACAGACACTTCCGTCTTACTTCGAATGAGGCCACAGGTGAATAACCAATACTGTACTTTGATGTTCGTCTGTTGTGTGCCATCACCAGCACGCTGGCATGCAGGAATTTTCTTGAGCTTTAATACATTTTCAGTCAGCTAGGATTATATTGCATTATTAGAAACATCTTCAGGATTGGATACTGGGCTAGAAACGTTATTAGAGTAGGCATGTGGAAGAGTGAGCCTGTGTATCGTCCTCTTGGGTTTTTCACGTGGCAATGAAATTCTCCTCAAACATCTATACGAATGGACCACAAGTCACGTAGTGCCTAAAACTGAACAGGCAATCTATCTGGAGACATCCTCAACTTTCAGGTCACGCTCATTCCCTTCACTTTGCTCCAGCTCATTTGTGAGCTAGTTCATTGTGGTTTATCTCAGTTCTTCTCTGCTTTTGCCTAGACTTTCAAGCTTGAAAAGATTAAAGCAGACTTAAAACATGTTTCAGCTCAAGCTCCAGCGGAGCCTTATTTTAGTCGGCTCTCTGCCCAGCAATGAAAACATCAGTAATGGAAGTTGATTCTTCATAAAACTTGGAAACAAGCTTTTCTGTAATTCAGCCATTTGTGATGGAAACATCCTAGTACAGAGGCAAGTGTCTTCTGGGCGTGATCATTAGGAATGGCAGAAGGGATTAATCTTCTGTGGATGAAATTATATCAACACAGATATTGGGAGAGGACATATACCATTTGACAGTTATATTTTTGCTGGTTTTATGATAGGTGTGTAAGGCACTGTGAATCTTTTGGAAGGAGAAGTAGTAGTATTATTGAAATTGCTTAGCCTGGGAGTGTTACGTGACTTTGGAAGAGACTCTTGTGTCAGATCTCAGTACAGACACTGCTGACTCAGACTTTTTGCAGAGGATGTGCGATTCACCTACCTCCCCCGACAGTAACACTTTTGTTACACAGTGAGTAACACATTTCCTCTGAAAATAACACTTTTGCTTATATATCTGATTTTTCATCAAACATCTTTGTTTCTGACCTTCACTTGGTTCTGTTACATAATTTCTGGGTCTCCTAAGTGCAAGATGCTATATAATAAACTTCATAGAATTGGTATTTCTTATCATAAAAAATCTAAGTGGAAGGGAACTAATAGTTCACTGTGGTCTCAATTTTAAATTACATTCCAGGACAAAAAAAACACCTTGGTTTAAATAACTATATTCTCTCCTCAGAAATATTGATGTGGTGCTCCAATAGAAAGCCACCCAGAGACATTATACAGATACTACTGACGTTACCACTGCTACTCCAGGACCATGATGTCATAACTTTTATTGCAATGCCAGGAAGATTCAGTGATTAATATGAAAACAAACAGACAAAAAAAACCCAGTGTCAATGGAAGTGCAATAGATGTTAGTCCAGTGGTCCTGCCTCTGCAGACAACTTCTGCCGGCATCAGTAAAGCATAAAGAAGTTTTAATAAGACTTGTGATAGGAGCCATCACTTAGCTCACACAGATGGGAGAAAAGATAACTCAGACCATCTCAGTGCACGCAGCTTCATGCCACCAAAGGCACCGCTATTAACCCTTCCACCAGATGGCTAGTTCTTTTAATTCAGAGTGTAAAATCACGCTTGTATTATGGGACTCTGCCACTTTATATAGTGACCTACATATATCCAACTATGTCTTGCGAATAGTCAGATCAGGTGAACTGAAACTTCTGTGCTTCCTGTTAATGTGATGTGGTTGCACAGCAGTGACTCAGTGACATGGCAAAGTGGAATTACTGACATAGCGTATCTTAAAGAAAACCACTCTAACTGGGAACAGAATTTTGCAAGCTTGTTTATAATACAAAATTCAGTGACAGTCAGATTAAGAAATAGCCCCAGCATTATGCACCTTGATTTAACAAGTACCATCAGTTTTATCATGTAATAAATCCACACCATCTTGAGTAGTTAAAAAGTCATTTTGAAGGGAAACAACTTTACTTAAGGTGAAGTACTTGTGCCCAGACACTGCCCATACACCAGCACTTCCACTGAGGCTCTGAGCTCAGCATTATCTCCTGAAGGTGAGCCCCTGGCTGCTCAGTTATTCCAGATAACAGGGCTGCTAGAGAAGGAGGTGGCAGTTCCCATATTGTTAACAGTAGTCTTCTAGTTAGTATCCATCTCTAGGAAGTCAACAGCCATGCCCCAGCCCTTCCCCAGCCCGAGGTTATGCTATTGCCCATCTCCCAGGAGAGCCTCCGAGTCAGCACGTTTCCTGTTGGAGTGGGACTATTGTCAAGAATGTGAGATTTATGGGGCCAAAAGGAGACCAAACAAAATAGCTACAGCACAGCAATTAGGATGCTGTTTGCCTGGGTTATCTGTTTTTAGCCACATGTTGTGTAAGCTAAAATACATAAACAGGCTGGAGCCAGCTTCCCACTGGAAACACAAAGAGCGTGCTCCTCACGAGAGCATTGTTCAGGGAACTCACGGACCCACTCCAGCTGCGGGGCACCAAGCCTCAGCAGGTTTTCCCCAGCTCCACAAGAGACCTCGGAGCGAGAGCTGGGCATCCAGCTCTCCAGGGTGCATCCGCAGATGCCTGTACATTGTGTGTGTCACACCAACCCAGCAACCAGAAAGGGACCTAGAAAGGGAAAAATCCAGAAGTACAGGCTTTCTGGATCGTGTCAGCCATTCCTACTCCAAGTCTTGAAGTAGGTGCTTTGTAGACACCCCAGCATATGACAGTATTAAACAAAGTCACCTTAAACAAAAAGCTATTTTTTTTATATGTATATATATATATACACACACACACACGTATATACATACACAACCACAGACAGAGTATGTGTGTGTATCAGACATAAACACAGTTTAAAGGAAAAGCTTTGAGGTCCACTCAAAACCTGCACAGGTCACTGCTTTAGTTACCTCAGGAAAGGTAAGCTGGTATAAATGTGAATCAGTCACATTTACAAAGCTGATGCACGCTTACCAGAGGACTTTATCAAGACCTCTGAAGAAAGTAGGGAGTGAGAAGCTTCAGTCGTCCTTTTCCCATCCACTGAAGAACTGTCTGCACTAAGGAGGATTTGCTGCCACGACTGTACCATCAAACTCCCCCTGCGAAGAGCAAGCTCGTACCAGCAAATGAGTGCTTTTGCTCTTAGACTTTTATTCCAGCCCCATGAATGGAATAAATTGATCCAACAAAAGGTGTGTAAGCTGAAAACACTATCAGGCCTTGCTCGCCTTCCCAAAGGACCGCCAGTCTCCAGGTGAATCTTGTGCAGTTCTCAGTCCTCCACCCTAACAAGACGCTGCAGGACCACCGAACGCCTTCACAGACAGGCAACAGGCTTATTATCTGGCAAGACATGAAGCCTTTTGAGAAGCAACAGACTGGAATCAAGTCTTCTCTTTGCGGGCTTTCTGGGGGAACACTTTATTGACGGGAAGAGGTAAAGGAACTGGGTTGAAGGAAGGCCTTTTCCCAGCTGGCAGTGGTCAGTGAGGAAGATCCAGCTTATTTACTTCTACAGGTGGTTTAGAGCTGTGAACCCCCAGCAGCGAGATTCACCCAGCCAGTATACCCAACTTGGGATCAGGATCTGAAGACATTCAACTCAACACTTATTGACTGGGTCCATTATTAATGTGCTGGTTTTGTAAATCTTGACCTTAAGTCAACAAGCTCCGAAAGCTGTTTATTCCTTAGATATATCTCCTATTGGCAACTGCCTTCCTCCTTGTTTATCTACTTGGTCTCTCCAATTCAAGGCTTCTAAGATTTCCTTGACAGAAAACAATACATATTCACTGTACAGCACGCATTTGTAATTATTAATAAAGGGTGCACTTTTGAACCTTTTTTCCACATTCAGCTTGCTGGAAAAGACAACAGGAAACATGTTTGAAGGTTGGTCTGAAACATTCAGAATAACAAAACAAAAAACCCTCTTGAACTAGATAAACAACAATAGCAGAAAGCAGGCACAAAGAATTTTGTATCTGCCCTGAAGACTACAGAAGAGCATCCTTCAGAAGCTTTGCACTAGCATTACTCAAAAAAGGTATTTTGTCTACATTTCCCTTAAATACTTCTGTGCAAAAGTAAATTCAGTTAGAACATTTCAGGCAAAAGCTAAAATTTGTTCAGATGGGAAATAATGTCGTGATGATGTGTGGGACACCAGGGGCTTCCATCCTCATCCATAAATTGGGTTTGTACCCCGATGCAACAAAAATGTCTCCCTCCTTTACCACTTCTATTGTCTCCCTGGCAGAAATCAAACGAACTCAGACCTACCCAGATGCACCAGACTTATAATGCAATACTATAAGCAAAATTGGTACATATGCTGTTATATTTATGACTTGCAGGCCTCAAATTCAGGCCTGCACAAAAACTCTGACAGAGCTGTCGGATAGCCTGGAATCCCAGGCAAGCCTAGAAAAACAAAAATAAAAGATTTAAAAAGAGGACACAGTTCATAAAACTCAAATTACAGGTACCACAGAGGAGAAGTAATGGATGATGAGAGCTCTTGGCCGTAAGAACCATGAAAATGTGTTGAATATGAAGAACGTAGACAGAAGACAACCGCAATACATTGTAGCAACATTCCCTCCTAAACAAAAATATTTCCATTTTTTAGCCATTAAGTTTTCCACCATAAAACTATCATTTTAGAGGAAAACTGGCAATTTTCATAAACTCTGTTGCACACAAATACAGTTTCCCTTTCAGCAGAAACTTTCTGACCAATTATAACTTACATATTAAGTGCATGCCACAGAATAACCCCAGAAGTCCTCGAGATAAAATAAAATACCTTGATTTGTTTCAAAAAGCTCCACTGGTAGGAAGCTAGTGCAATGCACAATTTCTGGAAGAAGTGGACACTGTTTTCTAACATGATGAGTGCTGGACAGCACTCACTCTTTAAATCAACACCTTATTTGTTGGGGACTGGCCCTTTGGGCATTGCAGCCTTCCAGCCTATGTAACACCCATCTGCTCTGGGTCGTGATTCCAAGTATCTGTAGCCAGTCATGATTCCAACTATCAACATACTTAACTTTAGTAACTTATTCTTTCTGAAGATTAGTTCCAAGGTAACATTTTGTCTTTCAAAAGTCCACAGGTGTTCCAGCTGAACAGGTGAAACAGAGAACTAAACAGAAAAGTGCCAACATAATAGGCTCTACCAATTTATCTGGCATAACTTGAATAGAAACAAATCAAACAATCTTTTTTATTTTCACTAATATGCGTTCATAATTGTGTACAAAATCGAAATGTAACCAAATGTATACAAAATTCAAATTGTTCTTGTATAAAATTTGCAAATGAAGTAATATTAAAATTTGAAGACACACAAGAAGAACAAAACTGCCTGCTAGCCACCTATTTCCTCTACTGCATGTTAACTTGTTTGCATCGCTTGGAAAGATAACAAGCATAAATCACAAACATTTTTCACTGTGACAATCATAACAGCATGCCAGTCTCCCAGCAACAGGCAACTAGGAGGAGAGGTAATTAAAATGTTGAAGTCAAGAAAAAACATTCTTCTGAGTTTACTTTAAGAAATCAACTACTCCCAAATACCTGAGTTTGAAGTGGGGCTGGGGAAGGCCACTGTTTAGGGTGGCTGAGGTTGCTTTTTCTAGAGAAGTTGAAATTAACACTAAACACAGGTCTTGCCCACAAAAAGATACATGTTCACACCAGTACTTCTGATGAACTGCAGTCCTGTACACATTGAACTCTAATAGTCATCCTGGCCACAAAACTGTGGACAATGAACAAACGCTAATGCTTAGTGTCCTTTTCTCAAACTCCTGTATGTTCCATGTTAGCTTCATTAAGAAATAATAAGAATTTTTTGGTAACAGGTTAAAAGCAGTAAGTAGTAAAAGTAACTTTTTGTTACAGCACTATGTTGTACTGACAATTCATACAGTAACATAAACAAATATACCACAGTTGCCTTTAAAACAGCTGGTTAAAATCAAGCAACTGAGGTATTTGGTGAATGATGGTGTTGCCCCTGAATACTGTCCCAGGTCATACTGCATGACTGCAGCAGAATACCTTGAAAAGTAACACACAGGTTGCATAAAAAATTAATCATCTCAGTTGCAAAAGGTGCCACTGTAAAAAAAAATAAAACTCCACATGGCTGTTGTGACATAGTGAATTAAGACAGAACTCCAAGATACAAAGGACCTACATTTTCAACACTGGTTTAAATATTGAAATTTTAAATTGGGATGGCAAGTCCTAAAAGTTGGGCCATATTAGTGATAAGTGAAAGGATGCTGCATGATATCTGCAATCACAATTTTAAAAAACGTACACTACAAACTATAAAAAATAAATAATTTTACAGAACAGTTTCTATACAACAGGTGGGAGAGATTATGTCTTGCTCCAGAAATCCTTCCTCTTCTGAGCTCGTTCCAGTATCTGAGATGCAAGTGAGCTAGATGCTGCCGAGCGAGCAGAAATCTGAGACAACCTGTCATCTGTGGGGAAAGCAACAAGGGAAAAAGTAAACAGGAAGATTAAATATACATATTAAAACACAGTTGACATTCATGGCAGACTTTAAAAGTGCAAATATTTTTATGCCCTCTTTCACAATGGATGCTAAAATAGTACCACAATACACTTTAATACTATTACTTGGTAACTGACAGGCTGGAGAAGAATCTCACTAGAAAGCTACTAGGATGCTAGGTAAGTTTAAGAGAGCTACATGCCCAGCTCTTGAAAACTCCCGAATGAGATCCCTACTGTCACCTGGGAATTGCCCAACTCTCCAAGTCATCTTTACATTTACTCTCCTGTGTCAGAAGACCTCAGAAATCATTCCTCTGCCACTGAAGCCTGTATGGGCTAGACTCTGATAATGACATACTCATGAAAGCAACCCACCGCTTCAAGCAAAGTGGACAACCTTAGAATAACACGACTAAAACATCAGAACCTATGTTGCAAAAAGAGCCCTTCTGTGCCAAAACCAGCTGGTGTGCCACAAGCTGTTAAAAGAAATGTGCCTTCTGAAGAAAACAGGAAGTTTAACACAAAGACAAAAGAAGCATGCTTTAAAAATGTACTTTTGAAAGGTCTTCCTTTTGAATATAGGGTCCACTTCACACCCAGCAGATCTCTTAAAATTAAGCAGCCTGGATGCTGCTTCTCCGATAATGTGCAACATTATACTTCTTTAACATTATTATTAAAATGTTGCTACAGCTCTGTCAAGATGCTCTCTATGAAAAATGACCTTAATTACACCCATTTTCCTGCAATGGATTAAAAAGAACTGTATCACTATTCTCCAGCCCCCACAACCAACAAAAAAACAACAAAAAATTCCACAACTCAATCCTAACTGGACCTGTACTTTGTCAGTGTTTCAATTAACTTTTCAACAGCATTTCTAAATTCTTGAAATACAGTGAACCAAACAGCCCGTAAAAGGCTCACACACTATGCATAACAACTATATTTCCACATACGAGAAAACTGCTAACTGCACTTCTGCAAACAGACATGTCATTGGAATAACTCCCAGGTTTGTATATACGTGAACAAATATGGGCATATCAAATATCTGTGAGCTGGCACATTGCACCTGTTCCTGAAAGCTCATACATCATCACTTAGCTCATAGGAAAAAAAAGAAAAAGAAAGAGCAGTTACAGCATTTAATCTGTGTGCAGCAAGCTTGTGGGAAGCTGCAGAATATAATAGGATTTTGCATGTTTTATGTAGGTACACAGATGCTTGGCTGAGCCATCTGCACAACCCACATGTTTCCAGCCAACTGCAATGAGTAAAACAGAGAATAGCCCTAAACCTTGGTTAAAACCAAGGAGCAAACAAACGTAAGGGATACAGAAAAAAGCTTTTGGTTGCTCTGGGGTATATCTATAAATAAACTGCAATCAGATATAAGCTTGCTCTGCCCATACTCTAATCTGAACCAAACACAGGTGATTGCAACTAGCACAGAACCACACCAAGCTCAACCTCACACACCATGCTAAGAAACAAGCTGTAGCAGCTCAAGCTAATGAGGCTACAGTGCCTTTGATTGACTCATGCTACTGAAAGAGTTTATTTGTGTCTGCCCATAAAAGGGCCAAGAAGATGCACCGGTGGGCTGTGCACTGGCTGCTTGCCCAGATTAACTTTACAGTAAACAGAAAAAAAGGCCAAAACAGCAATCAGAGTAACAGGATGCCATAAGTACCTCTAATACACTGAGCAGAAGAACAGGTGTGAAAATTAAAGTCAGAGGAACCATTTTATGCTGCATATCTGGTGCTGAAGTCTCACAAGCAAAATCTTTATCTTAAGATTTTTGGTACCTTTTAAGTTGCATCCAAAGTTACTGCAGCTGCAACCTGGGCTCTGATCATTTTGCAGTTTGCTTCTGTTGCTATCAACACAAAGGCTTAAAAAAATGTGTGGGGAGGAAACGATTTTAGGTATGGAACTGAGCAAGCTATAGTAGCCATATTGAGCCACAGTGGTCTAATTTTCAGCCGTACGTAATGGTTTATTCATACTAGAATATACCTTCAAATTCATACTTCAGATTACTAGGACGAACATTTTCAAATTATTTTGATGAAAACAATGCAGTAGTTATTAATGCAAACGTATTACTTACTGCGTTCAGAAATGTCTCACATTAGTGCAAAAGTTTAAATTAATCTAGGTAATATACACATGATGTACAACAATACTTTGTGACAAGAAATACCTTCATCATTATAGTTTCTTTCCTGAAGGGGTAACTGGAAAGATCTCATTTTTGGATTGCCAACATTCCCTAAGACAAAAAGTCAAAGGCACAGTTTTGAATCATTTCAAAATAGACAAAGGATAATATTTCATTTTAGAACATTTTTAAATGTTACATTATTTCCAAAACATGAGTCTTATAAATAGGAAACATACCAAAAACTCCACGAGACTCCTTTACTCTAAACTTACTTCACTGCATTCTTTTCAAGGTACCTGTCTTTGGTAGATGCTACAAGTTACTTAGTGAACTGCACTCAAGGTGCAGAGCTAGAACACAGCACCGATTCTAACCTCTTTCCAAGGAAATTCTCTGGATTTCACCATCCCACTTAACCTGACAACTACTTGTTCCATTCTAGAATGGAAATACTACTTCAGTTTAGCTAATCCTTATAATAAAAGGACCAAGAATTGTGGGACCTTAAGCAGCTACAGAAAGTCTTTCTGGAATGGAGACGTAAGCACATAAAATTTATTTTGACTAAGGGGTGAAGGATTCTTTTCTTTACCGAATTTATGTCCCCAGTACCCCTAAACATTGTTAAAAATGCTCCAGCATGAATTCCTCCTCAGCCAAGAAATGGGTTTTCTCAATATCCAATAAATCTTTTATAGATGGCTTTTTTGTTTCCATATCCTGCAGAAATATTTAAGGAGCTTATCTTTCTGAAATCCACAACTCCTGCAAAATAATACCACACTATAAAGGTCCCCAGTTACACACCGCTGTTGGTGATTGCAGCTGGAAAAGTGTCACGGCATCCAGTTGTAGCCTAAAGATTAAAAATTACAACTGCTCATGCTAAACCAAATTATTCTCATAATGAGTAAGTACTTATTGAAATTAATAAGGCAAAATTAGACAACAGACCACTGGAATACAATTATATTAGTGGAATCTGAAACTAAGGTGGAGAGTTGTGCACATTTCCTCAGCAAGACTAAACATATAGTAGAAAAGCTTTTGTTTACAAACAGCACATTCTTCGTAAAGTCTGTAAGACAGCAAGCTCAGCACTTTCTTGGCCTGAACACTGCACGGTAGCCATTTCTACCCTGCAGCAGTCTAACACAGCCAGTTAATACACAGAACCCACCATTATGCTGGAATTCTGGATCCTTGAGAGTCCCTTGAATACGACGAGAGGGACTCCAGCAAGGCACAGAGCAGCTTTTGGCTGACTTCAGCACAGGAGGTGTAGACGAACACTCTTGATGGGCTGAAGCAAGAGGAACTTGCTCATCAGAAACACTGTTAGGAGGCCACTGATCCTGCCTAAGTGGCAGAGGATCCAAAGTTCCCAGCCCAGCAGGTGGAGAGGTATGGAGTGAAACAGCTTCCACTTCCACATCAGGCTAAAACACAATAGAAAGAAAAAAAAAAAAAAAAACAACAAGAAAAAAAAACCAAAAACCCAACATCTCATATACAGACTTCCAGTACAGATCCTCACATATGCAACAAATGCTGGCTTTACACTGTTACACTTCTCATGATAGTACTGGAAGAATAAGTATTTCAAGCTTGTGAGACAGCATAAAGAAAATCTATTCCTAATAATCATGTTTAACATGGTCTGAAAGTAATCTAGTCAGGTCAAACCAAAAGCTTATCTTCTTCACAGCAAAAAACTGTGTTCTTAGATTTTAAACCAACATAACCAACTTTTCATGCAATTGTGTCTGCTTCTATTACAGAACTTACTACAGAGGATGTATGCAATGAAATGCTAGCTGTCTCTGTAGAACTCGGACTAAGCACAACTTGACCAAAAAACCACGATTTTGAGAGGAAGACAGTTATTCTATTTTTCTTTTAGCAACTATGCAAGCTGCAAAGTAAAAGAAGCACAAAAGTAAAGGAAAGGGAGAATGAAACTATTACAGCACATTTACCTATCTTGTACATAGGCACCCAACCTCTCCTTCTTTAATTTCTTTCAAGTCAAGGAATCTAGAGCTGTGCTCTATGTCAGTGGCAAGCTACAGTAACATTAATGGGGAAATCAACAGCTCTTGATGGCAACTTTTTTTTTTTTTTTAAACAGATCCTGTGCATTTAGCAGAAAAAGCCAAAATGGAGCTCATCCAATGTCACTCTAATAGTCTCAACTCCTCTGCTTGATACCCCAAGAAAAATTATTTATTCAGACATCAGCCTTTTTTAGTCACAGATGCTGAGAATTTTAGAATAGTAAATGACAACTCAAGAAAAAGATTTATTAAATAAATTATTCACAATTACTTAAAAAGTGCATTCCTAAAATGCATAACGGTAAGTCTCTTTTCTGGCTTACCCGGAAGGACCTTCTTTTTGAAGCTTCTCTTGCACCTTGCTTAGCTGAAGAAGGGTCTGTTCCTAAACCTCGTGTTCTCTGCTGTGAAGATGAAGACTTGAATTTAGGAGGAGACACTAGAACCGCACCTCCTATTGTAGTGGAGAAGATGAAAAATGCTTTATTACCTTAAATAACCTAACAAATTAATTCATACATGTCTTTTTTTTGCTTTAGTTCTTGAAATACTGCTTTGCATTTAAAAGTCTTTTTACCAACAGCTGGGGTAGTGAGATCATGATGAGTCCTCTGAGCTCCACCAAGCGCTTTCAGCTTCGGAGTAGGGAGCCTGCCGCCTGTCCTTGAGGATGCAGAAGAAGAATCTGACACAGCTGCAGAAGAATTCAATACTAAGGCATTCTCACTGAAAAAAAATGAGAAATTATTAAAGGATTATCTAAGGACTCAGGAGTCTTGCACTCAAGCTTTTTGTTTCTAATACATTCCTCCAATGAAGCCTAAGGCAGAAGACAGTTAGGGCCATAAAACACCAACAGCCTGTAGCTACAACATCTGCTTGCAATGGGGAGTCCTGGATTCCAGACCTTGAGCCTCAGTTTCTGTATTTTTTTTTTTAATGTAACTGGATAAAATACATAAACGGTCTCAAGCTGTAAATTCAGGCTCCCTCTGTCCCAATAAACCTTGAACATATTGCTGTACAGTAGCAGACTCAACAGGATGGCCGGAAAGAGTACACACCCAGAAAAACTTAGAACCTCGTTGCCACCTTAGAGGTGGGAATGTGGGTTTGACTCTTTTCAGTTAATGTGGTGGAACTGAAACCAAGTATCCCACATTGATGTAACCGCTCTAGCCCCCAGGTTATTAAATAAATCAGCACTACCACTTCTGTCTTCTTCCTCCAGATGCATTTCAAAAGGAGGTGGCAGCATACCCATGCTGTGCAAGGAACCTGATCCTATCAGTGCACACTAGACACACTCTGAGGACATCTAGGCAAAGAATGCCTCATTTCTAGCTCTCAAGCAGGCTTAGATAACATGCAAGTGTTAAGCTGCTCTGCATGGCCAAGTCCAGGGCGTATCTCAGCATACACATCACCACACTGCAGGATGACAGAAAATCTTCAATGTCAATCAGAGACATATCTATGAACTAGATAATCTCTAGAATTAGATAGAAATTTAAGAAGGTTTTCAGGATGATGGCTTTGAAAGCCTGCATTTAATTTCTATTTGAGTCTAGCATCTCAGTCTTTCTTTGCCTGGGTTTTGCATACAGGATCTTATTCCCAGAGGAGACAATTGCAATTCCTTACCTTCGATTCGTGCTGCAACACCAGAGATAAAACCCAATAAGGAATACAAAATGCTTAGATGGTATGGTAACAAGGGCCAAAGTTATTCAGATTTAAAATATCTATCAAACTAAAATATTGTTCTACCAAAAAAAGTATGCAAAACTTGCACAGTAAAAAGCCAGAGACTTCTGTAACTAGATACAATTTAGATCTTTCAACTGTCAAATACAGTACTATGCACATACTGAATTGATCTCTCATTATTTCTAAATACCCCTCCACCTTTTTCCCACCTGTGCTCAGTAACATAATCACTGGTGATTACTGGAGGCTAGTTATTTTTTTGTCCCAAGTCTTTTTTTGCCCAGGAATTTTTTTTAAGAAAGACAGATGCTTAAGTACAAGATTAGCATGTATTCTATCCCTTCAGTCCTATCAATCCTACGCGCCAATTTGAAGCAAATTGTGAGCTTTAATTTTCACTACACTTGGCTGCTGTGTAATGAACAGTCTGTTCTGAGAGGCCCATACTGCAAATTTTATAGTTTTGGAAAAAAACATTAGAATTGCTCATGGGTCTACAAACTTCTGTCTTGCAAGTTAGAAATCCAGTCTTCTTAATGATAGATCCATTTCCATTAACCAGCTCAATGTCTTGAACTTTCTCATTCCTTATTATACTGTTAAAAACAAAAGTAGTTTCACACCAACTTATGCTATCTTAAGCTCTTAAGTAAATCTGATTTAAAACAAAAATTAGTTAATCTACAAATTTCTGAGGTGTTAGAGGAAAATATTATATATATACACCACAAAAATGTTCAGTTTTACCCTTCAATTTTCTTATCTTCATTGGCACCCTTATCGTTTTCTTCTAACTGCTGAGCCACGACTGCAGCCTGTTCGTCTTGTTTTTCTTCCTCTTCTGTTGATTGCCGATTCTCCCTTTCTTCAGTTCCTTCTTGTTCACTCCAAACTAAACGCCTTTTGACTGGAACAGTTAGAGCAGCTGACATGTCTTTCTTCTCAGTGCTATCCTGGTGTGGCTGTTCTCTGGAGTCAGGTTGCTGCAGTATTTTGGGGCTTGGTGCAGTCTCTTTTTCAGAAACTCTAGGTAATAAAGTAAGTAATGTTTCATACCATTGATTTGCACGATAATACACGTGTCTATGTTCATCCAGTTGAGTCCTTTGCCAAAAGTACAGCTCAGATATTAAAAAGTGGTACAGTTGACATGATGAATGGTTAAATTTCCACTGAAGTTTTAACTGATGTTTAAGCATAACCCATTTTCAAACTAGATTCTATGAAAACTCTTTCTGGATGACCATTTCCAAAAATGTAATGTAAAATTAAGGCTCTATTTCCAATTTAAACAACAAGTTAGATTATCAGAAGTGCTCAAAAAATAAGTAGTTCCACGCATAGGGACTGTCTGATGGCACAATTTTGAAATCCAAGCAGTTTAGAAGACTCCTCTTTGCACACAACTTTTGAAAGTCTTAAACTCTCAACTGCTCAGAGAAATCAGTGCAAATTAGCCCAGTTCACAGAAATAAAATCAGTAAAAGGATCTGTATTTCACAGGCAAAAAAACAAACCAGTAAACCAAAAAATTTACACCATACTTAATATCACACATTATAGTGTAATAAATACTCTTTTACATGTCATCCCCGAACCCTTGTTAGAGCTACAGTCATGCAAATGGGTAGATCCCTCCCACACACACAAGACAAGTAGTGCATGCACAGCACTCTAAGTGGACTACAGACAGAGGCATCCAAGGCACTGTTTTTAAATACGGCTTTTTTTTCCTCCTTGCTTCAGCAATAGCTGTCTGTACATTTTACTGAAATACTAATTCTGAATTTTCCTAGCAAGGGATTTAGTATCTGCCAATTCTGATGGCCTGCAAAGAAAGGAGAAAATGGATGTACACCATTCCAGTTCCTAAGTCTTCACCACAGAACTAAAAAGTGTCTAAGACTCAACCACAAGATCAATTAATCCTGACAAGAACATTGATAACGTTTGAGCAGGCAAAACATATTTCATATCATTCCAGTGGAAAGAAGAATACTACTTCAGTATGACTCAGTGCGAAATTCCTCCAGACTTGATGAGACTAAGGTTGCCACACTAAATATGCATTTGTGGAGAATTATAAAGGAGTAGTTTTCTCTTCTTTCAGAAGACTGGACTGTGCCTCGTTTTCAATTTGAGCACATATCAAGAGATGTATCTGTGAAAAGGTAAACGCCCTCATCTGTTCTAGAGAATTTACATATCACAGAATTGTAGAACAGCCCAGGTTGGAAGGGTCCTCGAAACACCATCTGGTCCAACCTTCCGTGGGGAAAGGGAGCCTAGATGAGATTATTGAGCACTCTGTCCAATCGCATCTTGAATACAGTCAAACATCCAAGATCTCTCTGCTCTATTTCAAAGCTGCAGAATAATAGGCAGGAATGATGACCTTACCCTGCAAGATCTAGTGCTCTGATGTTGTTGCTGATGCCTTCTTCTGAACTGGAATTTGAGGACACATCCCAAAGACTGTTATTATCGGACAGGATCTGATTGAGATGGTATCGGGAGAAGTGTGTTCCCTCTACTCGTTGCCTGTAAGCCTTTGCTCTTTCTCGAAGTTCTCTCACCTACACATGAAGATTTCATAAGTTGCATGTCTGTTTAAAGTTCACTAATAGGCTATTATTATTATGTTCAATAAGTATTTGCATTAGCTAATGGCAGCTAGAGGAGAAAGGCAAGTTACTCATAATACAAGGCCACCCACAGCACAAACATTGCATGCCACAGTAAATGCAACGAAAGGAAAGCAAAAATAACAAAAGTGGGTATTTAGTCTGCATGTTTGAGCCATGAAGCAGAAGCAAAATTGTCAATTATTCATTCAATGAGCACAAAAAGTTATGCAGCAACTACGAATAAGTTTAGTGCTGGATTCTAGATTTTCCATCAGCGCTCAGACACAGTGCTCCAAACACTGAAACAGGAACTTAGATGCAACCAACCTCCATATACCACATGGAATTTAGGGTGTTTTGAGATGCCTAAGGAGAGGAATACAGAATTATTTTTAAATTTCTTATTTTTCTCTCAACACTGTACAGTTATTATCACCCTGGTAACTTTATTTCAGTCTAAGAAATTAATTACTAAAAACCTGTCAACATAGCTCTATGCTGCCTCCCTGAGATTCAGTAAAAAGCTGTAAAACAAATATATCAGCACCAGTTTCACCAGTTTTTGCCAACCTTGAGGAAATTAATTTAGATTTCTAAGCTTCAACACTCAAAAATACATTCACCACCAATTTATGATTATTTCAAGTCAACAGATCTCTGTGCATGTATAATACTGAGTTTGTATGCTGTCAACACTGCAACTATCTCTAGCTACATTAATCTTATCTCAGTGGGGAGCTAATGATTACATGAGAACTCTTGGTGCTACTGTATCAAAATCATTCCTTCTAGGCTATCAGTAACTGTAAGAATCAGATACAAAACTGTTCAGATCTCAGGTTTAGTCTTAAAAAAATAAAAGTGATAAGCCTCTCTTTAGACATTATACTGCTGATTACACAGTTATCATTTTTATAGTTAAAACTATTTAAACACTCACACTGCCTTGTGTCCTTCACCCAAACACAATTAAAGTGCAGGAAGAAAAAGCAACAACAAAACCTTCAGGTTTAAATTATTAAAAATAACTTTGTGATATTGTTGTGTGAATTCTGTCTCACTACAAAATGGTTCACAGGAAATAAGTATTTTGTCAACGAGCAGGAAAGTAACACTGACACTTCCTCTAGCACATTTTTCATAGCTTTTCTTATTTATTTTCCTTTCACAAAAGACTTCGCATCGTTCTTCCTGCAAGGAACAGTTAGAGGGCCAAATTCCGCTAAACCCCCTAAAAGTAACTGGATGCAGCAAATGGAAATACATGCCAGCTAACATCCCACAATTTGACGTGCTAAACTTCCAAAGAATAGCCCATTAAAAATATATGCTTGTCATTTTAAGAGGAAAGTTTAAAGTTTGAGGTGCAAGTGATTTACTGGATTATTCACTTTAAGTAGAAGAATGAAAAATTAATTATGATAGCCACAACAGAAGGAATATAAATCCAGAGCAACAGGACACTGCAGGGGGAGGAAGAATACTATGTCTCCAGTGAATTGTGAAGAAGTACAAAGGACAACTGCCTCCTTCAGTGACTCAGCGGGCAGCATTATCTCAGCAGGACACAGGCCCCAGAGAGTCCTACTGTGATTATGAATTGCCCACATTAATTTTTCAAAAGCATAATTCAAAGAGATTTTTTCATTCGACTGCTGAAAAGCAACCCTTAATAATATATTGCAGAGTAGCAGTCCAGGAGTAATCACTATGGCTAAGGTCATACCAGGATTCTATTATGGTACTGGCCTGTTTGGGCTCAGAACTTCAGAAAGTCTGCTTTGGACCCAAAGTTACCCATGTGCAGTCCCAAGTAAGGGAGAAACCAGACTGGATCAGTCAGAGCTTATCATCTAATCACTTATGCTAAGTGAGAGAGGTTCTGTAGGCACCTTTGGCAGGGGTGAGTCTCAACAACCCACCAGACGTAGAGGTTAGATACAGCTTTGAAGAACGTTTTTCTTCATGTCAGTGCATTAGTATGGGAAGAGATATGGAATCATGTAGAAGCTAAAAGGACTGTTGCGCAGCCTATACTGTGAATGGCCAAAGTACAACAAAACCTATGTGCTTGACACTTTTTTCAAGTTACGCGTACTTCATTAATCTGCTGTTAACGTATTTCTCAAATGGCTAGATTCTTTCTTATGTCTTAACCATTAATGAAATATTTTATTCAGTCCTACTATTTTAGCCATGCTGGATCCCATCTTGTAGTTCTTAGAACAAAAATATTGATGGATGCTACAAAAAAAAAAAAAGCCTGGCCAATAATCAGGTCTATCAGGATTTTTATTCTTGTATTAACAGAGGTTTTAAGAATTAACCTTGGTTTTCTGCCAACCTGTCTTGAAGACCAGAAAATTCCAAGCTTTAACCTTGTTCTTTGCTTTCACTACACCCACAAAAAGCTTCTTATTAAGAATTACAACTCTCAGTGAAACATATGGAAATATTAACAAGACAATAGCAAGTTAAAAAACTCCATATAGAAAAAAATCCCACACAGTAACACGTTTACACAAGCTAAATATTATTCTTTGTCTACTAGCAAAACTAGTTTGATATGCTGTACTGGTTTCGGCTGGGATAGAGTTAAATTTCTTTATAGTAGCTCTTATGGTGCCATGTTTTGGATTTGTGCTGAACACAGAGTTGATAACAAAGGGATGTTTTAGTTATCGCTGAAAGGTGCTTACACAGCGTCAAGGCCTTTTCTGCTTCTCACACTGCCCCACCAGCGAGTAGGCTGGGGGGGCACAGAAGTTGGGAGGAGACACAGCTGGGACAGCTGACCCCAATGACCAAAGGGATATTCCATACCATATAATGCTGTGTCCAGCAAGAAAAGTTGGGGGAAGAAGGAGGAAGGGGGGGATGTTCGGTGTTTGTCTTCCCAAGTAGCCGTTATGTGTGATGGAGCCCTGCTTTCCTGGAGATGGCTGAACACCTGCCTGCCGATGGGAAGTAGTGAATGAATTCATTGTTTTGCTTTGATTGTGCACGTGGCTTTTGCTTTACCTATTAAACCGTCTTTATCTCAGCCCACGAGTTTTCTCACTTTCACCCTTCCGAATCTCTCCTCCATCCCACTGCAGGGGAGTGAACAAGTGGCTGGGGGGGGCTCAGCTGCCTCCTGGGGTTAAACCACAACATATGTTCACAGGCATGTGATTTAAAGTCTAACAGAGACAGGAGAAATTCAGGTCATTCCAATTATAAAAGTCTCTTCTATATGAACTCATACTTGGATCTAATATAGGTATGCATACATAAAAATGTGTATGTAATCAAAAATGTGTATGTAATCTAAGCACATTTGTCATCAATAAAATATTCGTTATTATAGTCTTAAAATGAATTTGGCTCTTCCAGCTACCCAGCACAACTCCTTCATTTAAAAGGCCCTAAAAATCCTAATAATTCTTTTTTTAATTCTTCATGCCTACAGCCAAATGACTTCTTTCTAGTTTCCTGCAATTCCCTTGCCAGCAAGAAAATCTCCATGGAAAAGTCAGACACATCCAAAACACTTATCTACAGTGTGGGAATTTCTTGGTTTCTCATACAGTCTAATTAAATGCCACATATATTTACTTCCTATATCTCTGAAACACGACCCATAAAGGATCCTGCCTGGTAAAGCAGAACATCCATCCTCCACTTGCAGTCTCCTCATTCTTTCCCTTGACTGCACTGCAGTGACTCCTCCCAGCTGGCTGTGCCGCAAACACAACACACTCCAAGGCAACACGTCCCTTTCCCTTTACTTGCCTACCAGTCAGTTGCTCTTGAAGCTGAGCACTGCTCCTGGCTGTTTTGAATGTTACTGATGCAATATCCAGTCACCAAATGAAAGTCTTGCATGCCAGAAAAACGACATAATATTCTACAGAAACATTCTGTATACCACTTAGTCAAGCTGCATGCAATAGTTCAGAATATTCTACAGCCGTAGTTACAGTAAATCTAATGCATATATCAATACATATAAAAATAAAAATATTGCTTGTTTTTAGTCCTCTAACATCCTCTTGAGGCTGTTTGCACAGAATGGATTACCTCATGCATGCATACACGAAACCTGATTATGAATCATTGCATACTACAATATACTTTAAACTTTGCAACCTATTTCTCATTGAGTATTTTGTATATATTCAATATATATTTCTTTTTGCCTAAAAAGAAAATTACTTGATAGATTAAGTCCAGCGAGAAAACACAGAACTGAATGCTACCACACTACTCCTGCAATTCTCAGAGAATGTTATTTTCAAAATCTCAAAGCCCAACAGCCTAGAGCCATCCGCTCCCATTCTACCTTCCACATCAGCTTGGTCCCAACTGATGAGGAAACTCACACTTCCAAGTATTTGCCACAAATTTAGCAGTGCACAGTGTCTCTCAAAGGCTCCCTCTATCAGCTGGAAGAAGCCCAAGTCAATTCAGTGAAATCTGACTGTTGCAGAACTAGCTCTAGCAGTTTTTAGCACACGGCTAACGGTTTTGATTTACTTGACTAATTCAGGATATCATACTGAATAATCCTGCTAAGAAATCCTATGGTCCTGAAGCTGTTCAGCATTGTGAGAGTTCTGTCAAATGAGTTCCTATACAGTATAATACTGATCGCAGTTACTGAAAGAAACTACAAGAAAATACTTAGATTGGCTGAAACTTGCAAGAGAAATTCTCAATTTTATGCCGTGTATGACTGAATTCAGCTGACTGCTTTGAATGGATTCAGCATGGCAAGCTAACAAACTCAGCCTGACTATCAAGCTGACCGAGGCTGATACGTATGTTGGCCTTTTCCTTTTATTCCCTTGGAATCTCTTATTATCCAATTCTGCGTTTTGAAAACGTCTGCTTGTTAAAACTGGGCTGAACATCAACGCTGAGATTATCTGCTCCAAGAGACTCTGTTCTAAATGATTCTCATTGTAAGGGAAACAAAACTCCTCCCTCACTTTGGATGTCACATTAATATATTCTTCAAGTCATACCATCTCTTATTTTTTCTTGCTATATATTAAACTGACTTGTCAGAACCTAATCATCTTTGTATACTCACCTTTGGGAGCTTGAGTCATTAGCATTACAATCTCAAAACTGTATCTTATAAGCACCACAATTCAAAGTTTTTTGCACCTAAAAATCAAAATACAAAGCATACTCAGGCTTCAGATTTTTTAAGCGTACTCACCTGGTTGGGAACCTTACTCCTAATACGAGACCAAGCTCCATCTTTGTAGAAATACTGGGCTGGAGACAAAAATTTTGACCTATATTCAGTGTTCATCTTCCTAAGAAATCAAGAATGAGGAGAGGAAAAAAAGACAGAAAGGGTAAAGCTCAATATCCGGAATACTCTTTAAGAGCACTTTTAAAGTTATATCAACAAGCGTAAGTATACTTGCACTTAAATGCCAGGGCTGAGATGCGAAAAACGCATGCCTTGAAACACAGCTCATCCATACGGACACAACTAGGAAAGCTGTGAAAAAGCTCATTCACAGCTGGTGGCTCTTCAAGTAGTTACTCCTGTTGTTTTTTCCTCACAACCCTTCTGCCAGCAGCTTTTGCCCTGACAGCCAAATCAGCAGAATGTCATACACACATAAGCCTCAATTACTTCAATGCACAGTGCAGCATCTTGGTTTAAGTCACTGATGAAGGTGCATTTAAGTAAAAATGCCTGGTTTGGCACTCACGTGTCCAAGACATTTCCTTCTATGAACTCCACTCTAAAGGCACTCTGCATATGGGTGGGGTGAACTGTTGGGGCTAGAAACATCTGACTACCAGAACAATGGTCAGTATAATTCATCTAACTATGTCCTACTGGCTTTGATCTTCAAAAGGCCTCAGTACTTGAAAAGATGGATTCATTTTCCCTTCTGCCACACACATACAAACACAGAAAAATTAACATAATCTAACCTATAGCAGGCAATAAGCAATACTTCAAGGCCTTAAGCACTGAACTGTGGATCTATCAGCTTAAATCTAAAGAGGTTTTTGTTTTTAATCTTGCTTCAGAACATTACTAACTTTATTTTAATATATTCAGCATTGGGTGAAAAAGCCCTCTTTTTCAGTCCTTCTTCAGAAATAGATCACAAAAGCCTGAAGTCAGAGAATAAAATACACCTTGTAAAAAGAAAAATACCAAGGCAAAAAAAACCTTTATATTCAAAATTTCTTTCCATATGTCCCTTTCTTTGAAACTGACAGAATTCCTTCAGTTTTGGTTGCAAAACTAATGGATTAGCTCAAAAAACACATCACTGCTGTGCCTTGATCCCAGACATTCTGCTGCAAAAGCAGGCCATGCAATGCAGCTTGCATACAAAGTGACAGTCCTGTCTGCATATTGAGAACTTGCACATTTTGACAGCTATTTGCCCAGTGACTGTTTTGGAACCTCTTGTCTTGTACTACCACACTGAAGGCATAAGAGGCAGAAATTTATCCTTAAATGAAAAAAGTCATAGCAAATGATCAATAATTTTACACAGTACTCACCGCAAAATTGACTGCAATCTACTACGTCAAAGAGCTATGTAAACCAAAGAGTTAAAGGTTTTAACCACACTATATCCACTCACTTTTCCATAAAGCAATTTTATTTCATAGAATTTTGGGTGACAATTTTGTAATTATCTCCCAATATCCAACAGCATTCAGACCTAGGTAAGTCTCCTCTCCCATCTTTAATGTAATGTCTTAACACTGCCAGTCATGTGAATCAAAGCAATCACAGGGACACACATTAAGCACAACGACAGCAGAGATGGATTAATTTATGCATTTTAAAACCTACATCCATTCTGGGCTTTTACCTCTCTTGGCGTATTTCATAGAATAGTTTGGGTTGGAAGGGACCTTTAAAGGTCATCTAGTCCAACCCCCCTGCCATGGGCAGGGACATCTTCAACTAGATCAGGTCATAGAAAATGGAAACATGAATTCAGTTCCTGCAATGTAGGTATGTGGCAGAAGAAAAAGATACTTTGACAGTGCTCAGTAACATACAATTTTATTTTATTTCCATGCCTGTCAGATTACCTAAACGGGGCAGATTTCTTTACTTCCCTTTACCTCACGTGTTTGCTTTTGTTACTCTGGGACAGAAGGTGGTACAGACTAGAAAAAGCAGACATCAAGTACAATCATCACAGTTTTAAGACATGGAGCAAGCACAGGAGAGCAGTTTGAAAGGTGACTACAACTTCCAAAGCACTTGCTAAAAGTTTAGTAGCAGCACTGCACCAATTTAATTTCATTCATGTTGTATTTATTAACAATATTATTATTGCATCAGAAGGTTCAACTGAACGAGTGTGGTTACAAAGCTTCCACTTCCACTGCCTGGAGAAGGGGATGGAAATTAACACCAGGTTTAGATGTACCCACAAGAAGCTCGATCCCAGCGCTGCAAGGGGGCATTTGCCTCTGCAACTGTAACATGGCATGGTTAAAGGTCTATTGTCCATCATTCTACATATTAGGCTGCTGTACACCTGTTCACTAGGCTAGGTTTTCCTATTTTATACATACCCACGACTTGTATGTAAAGAGAGGGGCTTTGGACTGATATGTTGCTTATTTTTTTGTTTAGGATGTTTCTGTTCTGATTTCCCTTGTTTTGCTGCATCTTCTGCTGGCTTTTGAAACGGTTCTTCCCTCTTACTCTAAGGCAAAGATAATTTTAAAAATACCACATTAGCTAACAATCTGAAAACCCTTATATTCCTTTTGACATCAAGCTTTCGCAAAAAGTTAATTTTATATTAGTGTTAGCTATTTCGCATATTTAATACAAACAAGAATATTACATTCCTTTGTTAATAGAAAAATAAACTAGCAAAATGCCAAAACTAAGATTCTGAGTGCAACATTCAGTTAGTTAGATGATCTATTTTGTATGCTTTAAAAAATGAATTTAACATGAAACACAGAAATAAAATAATACGATACCTATGTATTCTAACCTGAGTTGTGTAAGACTTAACGTGTACATTTCTGGAATTTGTAATAAATAAAAAAAATAAAAACTCTTAGCTTTATAGTCAAGCAATATAAACTAATTTATAATAAACCAAAAGGCAAATTTTTAATTTGCTGCCATTATGGTTTATAAAGGGTCAGATTGACTTGTTCAGTTTTCACATCAAAGATATTTTTTTTCTGCTTATGTTATCCTCTTGGAAATCTCATGCGTGATTTCTGATTCTGCTAGAGATCTTCACAGATATTGTTCAAATTCAAGGAAAAAAAAAAAGGAAAGCAAAAAAAAAAAAAGCCCACCAAAATCCCCCAAAACTTTTTCAAGATATTCATCAGAGAAGAGATATCAGTATAAACAAAAAATGTTTTAGACACTTTCACCAAAATTCCCTTCTCATGCCTTCTCTTCCTTCACTTTATTAGCTCTCTTGGGAAAACATAACCTGAATTTCCAATATTAAAAACAAAGAAATGCTTCCTGAAAGCCTCATGCCTTTCAAGCTTTCTTCACACCTGCTAAAAGAGGCAAAAGGGGACATAAAATTCCTCATTCGCAGATGAGATTTAAAGCACTGGGCAGGTCCGAGTTTTAAATTACAAAGACTCCAAGCCAACAATCATATATAATGTACCAACAGCTTAACCTGAGCCACAGGCACTCATGTGAAGTATGCATTTGCTCAGTAATGGTCCTAGTGAACATGTTGTCTGTCAACGGCTCTTTCTGTTTTACCAAGGAACAGAGGTGGGTACTGAAGAGACTTATATGTGGTTCTTCTACCTGAAGGATTGTTAGCTAACCTACAGGAATTTAGACACCACTACACTTGGCAGCTTGCTACAAAAATAGACATTCCTATGTCCACCTTGCAAATTAGGTTAGCTGTCATGCAGTCTAAATTGCTCTCACCTATTTTTAGAAGATCTCAGTCTGAAACAATTCCTTTTCATTAAATGTATCTGGTAAAACGGCCATAGCCATGTCTCCTAAAAGTCCACTTAAGTTTGTCCAAGCCAACAGCAAGACAAGGAAATGCAAGGCCTCGGACAGCCGAATTACTTTCATAAAAGACATTTTAATGTTTTGAACTGAGTAACAGAGCTATGTAGGCTACACAATGTCCTCTTACAGCCCTGTGCTAAATACAATTACTTACCTTTCAACTTATCAAGGCAAAGGCAAATGAATTTTAACCCTTCCTCCATGTTTCTTCAAATTACAATTATTGGGTGAAAATCAGTTCCAACTATGGCATCTTCCAAACATCAGAATGTATTTTTTAAATTCACACTATGTCTGATTTATGAGATCCAAAAAGTTCCAGACCTCCCATACAGCCCTCTTGCATACCAAGAGACTACACTGGTACCAATGAGAGCATAAATCAGAGATTTAGATTTCAGAAACTATCCTGATGACTAAAAACAAAGTTTCAATTTAGGGAAAAAAAAAAAAAAAAAAAAGAACAACCCACTTGAAAACTCACAAATTAAGGTGACAGGAAAAATACACTTGAAATGTCATTGTAAACTGAACAAATGCACTACAGAAACTACAGAACCCACTACAGAAACGCCTAAGAGCAGAGCTGCACAGTGTTATTTTCAGTCCAGTGTCATTAGCAACAGCTCTAAAATGTAACTAAAAAAATTCAAAATTAACCCACCCCCGCATTATAGAAAAGAACAATCAGAATTACAGAAGTATACTAATGCCTTTCTTTTAGGGAAATATTTACTTGTTCACAAACCGGAAATTCTTTCTCTTCTGAACCACCTCTCTCTTGTGGACCCTTAACAGGAGGAGACCCTTTGAAATTTCTCTCATATGCAGTTTCAGAAATAATTGCAGGAGATTTAAATGGAGGTATGGATTTACTTGTGTTGCAAATAACCTTTGGGGAAAGAAAACAAACAAAAAAAAGAGTGTGATTTGCTTACCTCAAGGCTAAATTTTCAAAATCAGTTAACCAATTCACGCAAATACACTCACATATGAGCAGAGAGACGGTCATGTGTACAAATACAGCACGTGCAGACTAATTAACTTCTGGGACAAATTGAAGAGAAACTTAATCTGATAAAAATACATTTAAAAGTGACGGAGTCAGACACAGTTAAACCTGTGGTCAAATGCTGTTCTTACTGAAGTTCACTTTATTTGGGAAGACAGTTCACCTTCAGAGTTGTACGTAGGATGTATTTTTAAAACACATTCCATAAAACTTCCCTATGAGTCCTCACTACACATTCAGTCCATAAGTAACATACAACTGTTCTCTGTTTTAGAACTGGATGCTTAGGGCTTGGTAATTTGAGCTATCCACTATTTTCCAATCAATATTGTATTATAAACCAAGGTAGAGAATTTGCCTAATACATGGTCAAGTATCATCTCCTCATGGGGTGCTGAATTAAAAGACCATGCCATGTGTCACAAGCATACATTTTCCCCAGCTTTGCTATAAGAGTTTAGGTCTGACTTATAACCTAACTTGGATAACTTTGATGTTTTCACAGAATCTCTTCAAGGGAAAGGTATTGTCATTATTCAGTATTCAGGTATATTCTCCATCATATCAATAGCAATCAAAAGAAAATCAGTTTGTTAATACATCTAATTTTTATCATGAAACTCTAATCTTAAGTTTAGAACCTGCAAACATTTATACATACTTAGATTTTCTCTAAGTTCTATTTATCTAAGGATTTATAGTGCCTACAGACTTATACAGCTTCTTATTCTGTATAAGCTATGCAAAAATAAGTTTGCTATTTTAGATTCCAGAGTCTTTTTTCTGAAATAGCACAATGTTCACAAGCATCAATAATGAAATTATCAAACCGATTTCTAATAGAATCAAATGGAATTCTCTATGAAATTTTCCATAAGTTGATGTTCTGGGACCTGCCTCTTCCTCAAATGATCCTTTGGCTTCTATACTATTGTCATGCATTTCAGTGAGTTTTCCTTGGATAAGGGACTGCTGGGAAACAGGTATCTCAAAGTAAGTCCACCTGCTTGGCATTCCAACAAGAAAAAGACAGGAACAGTTATTATAGTGATTGATCCTAGTTACCTATACTTACTGCCTCTGAAAGCTGTTACTGAACAAATCTGCTACCTGTGGGTAAAAACACCATCTGTAATAATCCCATTAATGTACATGCTCCTAGTGAAGAAACAGAAGACAAAATAAAAGCAGAAGTGCCTATTTTATACTGTAAAATGACCAAAAGATGGACTGAGCCTCCTAAGTCCTGATCCCAGTAACAATGAATTGAAAACACCAAGCAGTCTCACAATCAGAGTTACTCTTTGTCGTCTGATTAGAAATAGCAGCATTTCCAATCCTAAAAAGTCCAAAAACTCATGGTATGTATCAAAATCAGAAGATTCCACTATTAAATATAAGCAGTTCTCATGAAAGAAAAAACACTACAAAGATGCACTTCAGGGCCTAGAAGTATATGTGCACAGAGGTGGAGACTGAGAATAAGAAACTGTGGTAACCAATAAAAGACCATGAGAATAAATAGCAAAACCTGAATGATTTCACTGGCAAGACATGTTATTACAATACAGAACACCTGAACATTCATCTGTTGATTAGCTATATATTAGGTAACACAAAAATGATAAAAATGAAGGGTAACATTGAGTGGGATCTTAAGAGCTCCTAAGGTAAATTAATGCAAACAGAAGAAAATGGTCCTGTTAGAAAGGACGGAATACAACCAGGGAGAACGAGAACAAGTAATCAGACCTGACTACAATAAAGAATCACAGGGAAACAAATCTAACTTTTGTATATTGGAAGAAAAAAAAAATACCATGTAACAGCATTCAAGTTTGGACCCCGCCCCCCCAAAGAGGAAGAAAGGAAATCTTGGAAAGTAAGCAACTTTGCTGATTCATGAAAGAAAGTATTCATTTACTTTTTGGATTCTTTAAAGTTACCTGTTCAGCTGCAAGTATTGGTGACTTTTCATGAGGACTCTTCCAAACAAATTGGCTTTGATATTCAGAACTTCTTGGGAAAGCATTCAAACGTGAAATATTCATGCCTGCTTTCCTCTGAAGGACTCTGTGAAGCTTACAGCATAAAAAAGAAAAAAAAATTAACACCGATTGTTCCCTTTCCTACAATGTTTTGCAAGTCAAGTACCTTTCAGTCCACACTTTCAAACCAACTGTTTGGTTTTTGGTTGTATGAATTAAATGAATGCAAAGTACATTTTCTCATTATAGCCAACAATGCCAAAAGTCTATATATTATTGGCTAAACACTTGTTTAACTGAAATCAAGAGGGACGGCATATGAAGGGCAAAATTCCTATTGACCTAAGTGGAACCAAAATCTGGTCTCAAAAGTACCGTTCTCCCAACAGAGAAGCTACGACATAGAAGAACATCAAAATACAGAACTAATGAGAGAGTTAGACAACAGAGGCTGGTGTATGTATTACTGTAAATATCAGATTAGCAATTTTTATACTGGTCAAATTAAAAAAAAAAAAAAAAAAAAAAAATCTATCTTCCCTTACCCCGTCACTCATTTTTTCTAATTCCTTTTTTGGAGATGCAAATGCTTCATTTTGATTTGGCGGAGCTGCAGAGGGTGATCTCTTCATGTTGTTTTCTGGAAGGGCAAGAGCTGTTTCACCTCCAGACTCTACCAAATGTGACCAAACTTTTGGGGGGAGTCTGGCTCCTTCTGGCGTTTCTATTTTTTCCTGATTCACATCATTGTTGTTGTGGTCTGTGTGCAACAACTCTGCAGTCCTAAGAGCTTCAGTTTCAAGTGCGTCATTCAAATCACAATCTGCTGTCCATTCAAAGGACTTTGAAATCTGTGGATTATGGTAAGGTACCCTTCTCTTGGAAATGAAGTTTGGTTCTCTTGTGATTCCTGAAAAAGACGTATTAGGTTTAACAAAAACATTCTATTGAAGACATAATATCACCCTATTACAAGAACAAATTGAAAGTTTATCATACAACTTAGATTATTAGAAAAAACTATTTTAGTATCTTTGAGCAATGACAGCCTATGAATTATGGGCATGGCTGTGAAATTCTGTCGTCTTTCCTGTCTGCAAATGCCTTTCCCTTCCACTAAAGAGAGATGGGAACATGGTGCTCCAGGACCATGTTGCATAAAACCCTATAAAGCAAATATGACCACAGGACAATCTTTTGCAAGTTAATTCTGGGAGTTGAACAACAACAGAATTAACAGAGCCAGTGAAAAGAATGTGGTTAACACAGTACAGAATAAGAACCTGCAGTGATAAAAAATGCCACAAACACTTCTCACTGCACATGCACAATACACCTTGCCGAACAGGTTCTCACCTACTGTGACAGGACAGTGACAGATCCCTATCCACCTAATACAACTGTGATTTAAAACCACCTCAGATAGTTGCTGACTTTTTACAGTACGAACACAAAAACATTTCCAAAATTCTAAAAAACACTATGTAACAAAACCAAGTATTGAGTTATTTTAAAGAATTGCTGGCCATTACACGTGCAGATGAGAATAAAATTACCCTATCATTTTAAGAAGAAGATTGAATGACTGAACACATTTAAAGTGGGAAATCATAATCCAATGGCAAAGTGCTCAACTGCGATGGACAAATAAGTGAAGGCCCCTAACTGGCTGAAAGAAACACTTTCTAAGAAAGAGAGAAACTCCTATCTCATGAAAAAGCAACGTAGAAAGAGAGAACAACCTATAGTGAAAGGTAAACAGAATGTCTGGATGTCCAAATACACATACAGGTGGTAGGAAATAATTCCAGTGGAAAAACACTGGAAAAGTAGCAGGGAGGAACTCAGAGCACTTGCAGCTGTTAACCTTTTGTGGTGATGTTTGAAGTCATTCTTAAAACTGCCAACTATGTGTTTCAACAGGAAGAACCATAAGTCTAACTTAATTATCAAAAACAATCTGCAAATCCTATGAGGTGTCAAGAGTGACATTTGAGGACGCACTTGGTTAAATGGCCAGAAAAGAGGTGGGAGTGAAAATGAATGCAAAGGTGGAGGAAAACTACACCAAGCACACACAAAAACACTGCTACAATGTAAGGAGGAGGAGAAACTGCTGTATTGCTAGCTCATGACTTTATAGCAAGTCTTGTAAAAATTGCAGTTTAGTTAACTGGAAAAGAACCATAGCTTACAATTTTAAAAAGAAGTTAATGTGTTTGGATGTTCGGGTGTTTCAGAATTCGTGGAAGTTATTCTCTTCAATACAGGTGCCCATACACAGAGCTATGTGCTAGGAAAGCAAGGTTAAAGAAATATGTATTTTTACAGTAATGGAAGAAAGCAGTAATATATATAAAGCATAATCTTTGGCAAGATTAAATTATTTATTAAAATGTCTAGTATCTCAACTGAAAACAAACCATACTCCCAGTAGTTGGTTCTTAATTACTAGGCCATAATTTAGAACACTTATCATATTGTAGGAATGAATATATTGGACTCTTAATTACATAGACTGCATAGTGTGGTTGCACTGAACTGCACAATTTTGTTAATCTGTCTTGTGCCACTACAAAAATTCCTATTTTTTACTGCTCCTTTTCAAAGCACTACACTTGTCATCACTCTGCAGCTTACTCCTTTTCCTCAACTCTCTATGGGCCTTTCAATCCAGATGCTATTTCCTTTGTCTTCTACTCTCCAATCCCACGTTTCCTGCCATGATAATGTCTACAACCCCTAACCCCTACACTACAGCATCACAAACTTTTCCATTTAATGCCCATTTTTACTTTTTTTTCTCTAGTTAGCTGCCCCTGTAGGTCTTCATAAAGGTAGGTCTTTGTATCAAATCTTGCCCTAAATTAGTCTCTTCTTAAATACGGAATTTTACTTACTGTTTCCATGCACCACAGTTAACCCAATGCCTCCTTCTACACACCTTGCATGGGTTAACACTGCATCTGTGCTTCACGTTTGGGACTCAGCTTACTATGCATGTCAGAAACCACGTATTTTTCATGTTTTATTTAAACAGCACTAACATTAAAAGAAAGTTTCAGTGTAGCCAGAAAGGATATGGCACTCAAAAACATATTCTAATATACAGGAATATACTTTTAACTGTATATAGTGTACAAACTGCAAACACTGCCAGCTCACTGTGGTCATGCACTCAATCACAGCAAACCTCTCTAGACCTCCTGCAGCCCAGGCTCATCCTTACCGGAGCCGGCTTGGACAGCGCCGGGGTTTGCGATGGAGGGGGTGGCTTTCAGGGGCGCTTACCGAACTGATCCGACCGAAGTCCTGCCCACAAGGATTTCTGCTGTTGGGATGGGCTACAAAACTCTGGGGTTTTCCATTTGAAGTTTCTCTTATATTCACTCAGTCCCTGCAGCAAACAGAGGGGTGTCTGTCAAGCGACCGGTGCCTATCCTGCTTCGCTGCTTCTGTTGGTAAGAGATCTCCAAGGGGAAAAACACCAACAAGGCTGCTGCAGGATTCAGCTAGGCCGGCAGGTTGCTCTGCATCTTCCGAACCCACCCCCAGTGAAGAGCAAGAACTACTTGATTGCTCTCTGAATAGCAGGAAACAGCATCGAATAACTTCATACACCAAAAAGTATGCAAAAACTTACTTATACCTTTAAGCTAGTAACATTTCAGGAACAAATACAGCCTGAACCCTCTGTCACCCACACGACTGAACTCCTTCCGTCTTTATTAGCCACCGCTCTCTCAGCGCAAGGGTCTCCGCTTTCCCGCTTCGCCGGTGGCACCCCGGAAACGACTGCACCCCCTCCTTCTGCCGGCTGCAGGGGTCGGCCGGGCCCGCCGCCCCCCAGGCCCAGGGT